CCGAGGCCCCCTCGCCGGGGCTCAGAGCAGCGTGCAGCAGCCGCGGGTCTCCATGGCCGCCAGCAGCAGCCTCAGGTTGCGCGGCGAGTGGGGCGGGTAGCGGATGGCGTTGACCTTCTCCAGGCCGGGGCTGCGCAGGAGGCAGGCGCGGTGGTGCGAGAAGGTGTCGAAGGAGAACTTGCCGTGGTACCTGCCCATCCCGCTGGCCCCTGCACGCGGCACAGAACTTGGGGTCAGGGCCTCGGGGGTGTCAGCCAGACCGGGGCCTGCCAGCCACACAACGGTGGAAACCCAGGTGGGCCGCTTCACCGCCGAGCCTCAGTTTCCCCATCTGTCCAGGGGCCAATCACGAGGCGCTGTGGGTAAAGGGCCCGGCCTCGGTCAACGCTGGGGACAAGGCAGACAGTGGTCAAGGGCGTGGCCTCCGGACCCAGACCGCCTGGAGTTCGGTCCTGGCGCTGCCACCAACCCGCTGGGTCGCCGTGGGCAAGTGACTGTCCCCTGTGAGCCTCAGTCTCCTCCTCTGTGCCTCGGGGTGGCCGTGGCACCCACCTCCGAGGATTGTGGCGGAGACACGGGGTGCTCGGACCCATGGGCACCGAGTGCTGGGTGTCCCGCACCCTCCTCGGCATCTGGATTAGGAAGCAAAGCAGGACCCAGGCCAGGCAGTCCAGGGCACAGCCCAGGTGGAGCTGGGGGTGATCAGGGTGGACTTCCTGCAGGAGTGAGGCTGAGGGATGTGGTGTCAACCAGCTGGAGAGGGTGGGTGGGGGCGGGAGGGGCCCAGGCTTGGGGACAACGGGGGGGAGAGACTTGGAAGGGGGTGACACGTGGTGTGTTAGGGGCCTGGGCAGAGAACAGCAGGCAGGGAAGGGGGCGGCAAGGAGAGGGCACTGAAGGTGGGCCTCATGCAGGCCAGGAGGGCCGGGCCGCAGGATGCTGGGGCCCAGCTGGCGGCCAGGGCCTGGGGACCGGGAGGGTCTTCGGGGAGCAACAGGGTCAGCCGTGCCTCAAGACACCCCGACTCCTCCCAAGGTACAGGAGGGGGGGGACTGGTGCAGCCACCCAGGCTGGATTCGAGGCTCGAGGCCCAGAGTGGGGGGCTCCAGGGCGGGGACCACAGCCGCAGGGGCCTCTCTCCAGGGAGCGGGCGCTGCCTGGCCCGGCCGTCACTGAGGACGTGGGCTCAGAGAGGGGCGTGTCACCCCGTGTCACACAGCGGGTCGGAGTTGCTGGGACCAGCCCTGAGCTGTCCTGACTCAGATGCCCGGACGCTGCAGCTGCATGGCGCTGTACTGGGGTGGGGCAGGGGCCTCCCTCGGGACAGGGAGCCGGAAGGAGCCAGGGCGACAGTGGGGGTGAGATGCCCGGGGTGGA